GGCGGCGGCCCGGGCGCGGCGGCGGAGGAGATCAACACCAAGGAGGTGGCGCAGCGCATCACGGCCGAGCTGAAGCGCTACAGCATCCCGCAGGCCATCTTCGCGCAGCGCATCCTGTGCCGCTCGCAGGGCACGCTGTCCGACCTGCTGCGCAACCCAAAGCCCTGGAGCAAGCTCAAGTCCGGCCGCGAGACCTTCCGCAGGATGTGGAAGTGGCTGCAGGAGCCGGAGTTCCAGCGCATGTCGGCGCTGCGCCTCGCAGGTAGGAGCGCGCCCCTCGCCGCCGGCCGGCTGCCTCTCCCGCGCGGCCGTGCGCCTCCCCGGCCGGGACCGTCAGAGGCCAGAGCGGGGCCACGTCTGCCCCCAGGCCGTACTGTCGCCAGAGGGGACAAGGGACAGCGCCATCTTACCCCCGGAGCCGTCACCCCTACCCTGCCTGGAGCAGGAGGGGAGTCCCTGGCCCTCTGGCTGCTGGGCGGCGCCCCAAGCAAGCCCCAGGGTCGCTCATTGTGTGTGTGTGTGTGTGTGTGTGTGTGTGTGTGTGTGTGTAGGCGCGCGCGCGAATGTTGTGGGGAGCATGCTGTCAGCTTGGGGTGCCACACCCCTCTTCCCGCGGCAGAGGCGCCGCTGAGCCCCCAATCCGGCGAGCGCCGCCGCTGTACGGCCGAGACCGGAGCGGCCCGCGATCAACCCGACCCAGCGCGCGCTTCTTTGTAGCTCGACCCTCCGCGATCGATCGCCGCCTCCCCCCGCGCTCCGGCCGCTGGCAAAGGTCACCCGAGAACGGGTGGAGGAGGGGCGGCCCGAGGCCTTCACGAGGCCGCTGACCCCGCCGGCCCGAGCTGGGGGCGCGCCTCGCCGGCCTGGGCCTGCAGCCCTTTCCCCATCGCCGCCGGCCCCGCTCTCCACCCGGACAGGCGGCGATGCGTTTCCGCTCCGCCTGCTCCCAGGTTACTGCTTCCCTCATTTCTCTCTCCGCTGTTTCTCTCAGTCTCTGTCGTGCACACACCCTCGGCCCGCGGCCCCCAGGGGACCCGCTCCTTCCTTCCTCCCAGCTAACAACAGCTGGGTCTATACACCCCGTGGGGCTGCTGGCCAGGCTCCCCATCTCCTGGGCACTGGGGGTGCGAGAGAGCCCCCCACGGCCTGGCCCGCGCTGACGAGGGGGCTGTGCGACCGGCTGCGGGGACAATAGCCGCGGGCTCCGATCGATGGCTTCTCAGCAGCGCATAGTGGTGAGCGGGCGGGGCGGCAGGGGCTCTGCCTAGGCGCCCCCGTAACGGGGAGATGGACAAGGAGGGGCCTGGCTGTGTCCCCAACCTCCCCAGCCAGTAGAAAGGGCAGAAGGGGTACTGGGGGGCCGGGGTTCCAGTGTTCACTTGTCCCAAGAGCCTCTGTCTTCCCCTCCCCCACGTCAAGCCCACTGAACAACCACGTGCAGTCGCTTCTGTGGGCCTCAGTTTCCCCCTCTGCACAGCCAGGTGACCGACCGGAACCACTTGTCAGTTTCAGGTCTGCACCTCGGAACGGGGTAAAGCCTTTGTCCTGCGTGGTGTGTGACGAAGGGCATTGGGAGGTGGTGGACACACAGTGGAAATGACTCCGTGACCCGGATAGTCCTGAGGGGCGCCCCCGCCCCACGTTCCATAAGTAACTGTTGTGGATACTTGACTGGGGATCTGGGAGCCACTACCTGCAGTGTGGAATGTGGGGGACATCAGGTGGCAAGAACGCACCCACGTACTGTGTTGTATGTGGGAGATCCAGCGCCAGATACTGTCTCTTAACTGGCTTGTGAGCGATCTGGGCGCGCGGACACCTGTCAGTGTCACTGTACCTGTCACCTGTCCCCTCCTCCTGCTTGTACGAAGAAGACGTAGTGTCCCCCAGGTCTGCGCCCCACTTCCGCGCACAGCCCTCCACTTTCTGTGTGACTATTTCACCGCGGTTTGGATCACCCGATGGAAAGCTTCTTCGGGCTCACGGTGGATGGAGTTACCCGTTTAGGGGGCTGCTGCAGGCCAGGGGCAGGGGCTCCTCTACGCTCTGAGACCCGCAGGCCTCTGGCCACAGACACTTCCAGGCTGCCGAGACAATTACAGACGGGAAATCCGGACAACTGGTGGGGATCCGCGGCCCCGGACGAAGAGTCCAGTCGCAAGCCTCAGTTCCACTCGGGACAGGGGGTTCTGTGCCACGTGTGGGCCTCCAAAGAGCCCGAGCAGGCGCTGCGGGACGGGACAAGAAGCTTGGTGACAGTCAGCCTGCGCTCCTCGGACTGCCGGGACCCAGTTTCCGCGACAGCCGTATCCCCGGTGCTCTCAGGACACGTCCACACTGTGGGCTGGGCCAAGTCCACACTGCCGACTGACTTCGTCCACACCACAGGCTGGCCTCGTCCACACCGCCGGCTGGCCATGTCCACACCGCCGGCTGGCCACGTCCACACGGCCGGCTGACCACGTCCCCACTGGCTGGCCTCAGTCACTCGCTGCGGGTAATTACACACCGACTCAGGCCTTTAGTTCCGGTCGCTGCGCAAATGAAAAGCGCTTAAGTGGCGGCAAATCGCCTCGCTTACCGGGAGGCGCCAGGGCACATCCCCACTTCCAAACGTCACCCGACGCGGTGACAGCTCGGACACCAAGGGACACCGACGTTCTTTCGCTCAGAAACCTCCACATCGCACTACAAATTCGGCCAAGGAGGCTCCCGGTTCCTGTCCTCCTCCTGCCACGACGTCCTCCGCCTCCGAAAAACAGGCAAGCTGCTGCCAGAGAGGAGGGAAGGGAGGAAGAAAAAGAAAGCCTGGACGGCGGACAGGCCCCGCCGGAGAGAGGAAGACGTGCCGGACAGAAGAGCAACCGCGAGCCGTGAGGACGGCCCCGCTGGGGGCTCCTTGCGCCCCAGCTCCAGCCCTGCGTCTCAGCCCTGCGCCCTGCGCACCCTAGTCTAGCCTTGCGCCCCGGCCCTGCGCCCTTGCGTGCCAGACGGAAGACCGAATCCGCGCCTGGTACACATACACCCCAGAAACCCGGCAAGTGTGCCTCAGTTTACCCCTGTGTAAAACGTGCATGTGGTGACAGGGGCTGACACTGCCCAACCCCTGTCCACCGCATCCCCCCAGGGCCTGGCCTCCACTTCCCCACGACGCCGAGTTCCCCGCCGAGCCACCGAGCCACCGCCTCCTGGAAGCCCTCCAGGGCTCAGGCCCCTACGGGAGGGCGGGGGAGGGGCGGCGGACTCCCAGGCGGGGGAGGGGCGGTCGATGCGTTCGAATTACCGACTCTAATTCATCACGCTGCCTGGTCGATAGCTTTGGCCATCTTCAAATATTGTTTAAATTGCAACTCCAGAGGAAAAGTATTATTATTTTTTTTTGTAAACGGTAAAAAGGAGAAATATATGTATATATGTATGTGTGTGTATACATGGACTATGATTAAGATGAGATGTCCTGGAGAGGCCTCAGCCCCCACCAGGAGCCCAGAATAGGGGTGCAGGCTGATCCAGAGAGACTCAGGGGAGGGGATACTTTGTCTCCACAGGACACCAACTGACTCATGGACAGAAAGGGGCCAGAGACACAGGAAGGGAGGGAAGTAATGGACAGAGACCCTAGTTGTTTCCAGTGGGGGAGGCGGGAGGCGCAGCTTCTGAGGGGCTGGGGGTCTTCAGAAGGTGGGAGGGGGTGCAATAAGAGGTCAGGCCTGTCCCCCACCTCTCTGACCCTCTACCACCTCCTTCTGGCTACATGGGGGGCACTGCTCTACTGGGGTGATGTCTGTCCTCCTGTGAATGGCCTGGATGGAACCCCTGCCTGCTTCTGTAGAGACCCCAGAACAGACAGCCCCAACGGACCACCCTTCTCCACAGGGTGCCTAGGAGAACAGCCCCAGGCCCTGCCTGAGCTCATTCCCTGTGTGGGAAGTGTGCCTCGCTCGTCTGAGAAAAGGACAGAGTTCAGTGCTGCCAGAGGTGGTCTGTCCCTGCCCCCACAGTGACTTCCTTGAGCCACCAGACTCAATGACACCCACACCTCCTGACTTCGTGGGGGTGACCTCAGGACACCACAGACCCTGGATGAGCAGGGCCTGGGCGAGATTGTGGAAGGATCTGAGTCTCCTGGGCTCCCTGGGGGGAGTGAAGCCCCCCAAGAACATGAGAGTTTCAGGGAGACCGTTCAGGGACCCTCAACACCACCCTCCTACTTCTGTATTTCATGCTGGGGCCAGCATGGCACTAGCAATTCAACCCTCAAGAATGTTGAGGTCATCTAGAATGACCTCTGACGTTTGGCCTGTTACTGCTCCCACTTCACAGACTGGCAAACTCAGGGTGCCTGAAGGGAAAGTGAGCAGAGCTCCGATAGGAGGCAGGGAGGTGACGTGGGGATGGATGGTGGTGGGAGGTGGGTGCAAGGACAGAGGTCAAGGACAGCAGAACAACAGTGGAGAAACCAAGAGACTCCTGGGGACCTCTGGTGGGTGGACAGGACAGCCCACCTTCCCTCCCTCATCCTTCCAGAGTGACAGGATTATGGGCACCCCAGGTGCCAGGTCACCACCCCACAGCCTGGGCCCCCTCCCGTTCTCGTCCCCTCCCCCTGGAACATTTCCCAGGAAGCCACCTTCCCGGGTTGGAGGGCCAGCTGCACCCACAAGCCCTGGCGTTTGCCTCCTTGAGCATAAACTCCCCAAAGCAGCCAAGTCTGGCCCTTTCCCCTCAGCTCTCCCGGGCCCCTCTCATCACTGTCACCCGTCAGCGCTCTGCTTGGCTCCCTGCTCTGCCGCCATGCACTGCACCGGAGAGGGCTCCGTGGGGACACGGTGATGACGCTTCCCCATGAGACGAAGGCCCTCGGCCCACTTGGGGTGGGTGTCCTGGACAAAGCCAGGGTGGTGGAGGGAGCTCACAGCTCTGAGGACAGCCAGGCCCTGTCGCTCTTTGTGCTCTGCCTGCGAGCAGCCTGGCTTAACCGGACGAGCTCGCTGGTTTGCATCTGGTTTGTAATTAAATATGGACCCTGATCAATACGAAAAGCAGCGGCGTGGGGGAGGGGAGAGAACGGCCCTGGTGGGCGGCCATCAGAGGGGCCCGAGGGGCACAGGCCTCAGTTTCCCCCACTGCACAGTGCATGGAGAGCAAGGACAAGGATGAGGAAAGGGCACTCACACCAAGGCTGCCCAGCAGGGGAAATGGGACAAGACTGGCCAAACCGGCAGGAGAAGCAGGTGGCAGGAAACTCCAATGTCCACAGAG